CTAAAAATTGGTATTTGTTGGTCATAATGGGTTCCAGCTCCGGTAGCGAAACATTGCATGTATGGGTCCACATTTTGGTATAGTCCCCATATAACGGTACCTCCCAATATTCGGTATTTTGATGATTTTTGACACATTTTTTCACGAATTTCTCTAAAAATTGGTAGTTGTAGATCATAATGGGTCCCAATTCGTGTGGCGAGTCATTGTAATTATAGGTCCACGTTTTGGTATAGCCCCCATATAACGGTACCTCCCTATATTCGGTATTTTGATAATTTTTGTCACATATTTTCGCGGATTGGTCTAAAAATTGGTATTTGTAAGTCATAATGGGTTCTAGCTCCATTGGCGAAACATTGCATGTGTAGGTCCACGATTTGGTATAGCCCCCATATAACGATACCTCCCAATATTCGACATTTTAATGGTTGTTGTCAAATTTCTTCTAATGTTTCCTTTACCCTAAGGTGGAGGGTATTAAAAGTTTGGCCCGGCCGAACTTAATGTTTTTTTACTTGTTCAATATATGCCGAATGGAATATTGCGATATGTTCAGGTCACGAGTCATTTTTCGGCCACTGCGAAGCGGGTTGTGATCAAGTCGCTTCTTTACTTTTCAAACCATTTCTGCTGATGTTGGTGTTTTCTTACGTCCATTTCCTTTACCTCGGGCTACCCTACTGTGATACTGTTAACGAGCTATGGTACGAGACACAAAAGATTTATTCACATTTAAAAGCTAGAGTGGTCTAACGATAGCCAGATATGTTTCTAAATATAAATAAATAACACTATCACGCTCGAATTCCATCACGAATAATTTTTTCTGGAAAATTCTCATCAAAATGCTTTTGTACGCTTGTAAACAATATAATGAGCTGTCACTGGAATAATTTGACAAAATAACAGCAGTCTGAAGTCGGTTGCAGTTTTTTCATCTCACCCTGTATGTAAAAATACTCTTTGAGTACTTAAGATACCGAATTGCAGCCAATTTAGTAAGGAATTGCGAAGAAATTAAGCAACATACTTAAAATCGGTTAGTACCGTTAATTTGGTAAAATATTGATTTGGAAAATGTTTTTATGGTGATGAAATACTCATTGATAGCTTAAAATACCAATTTAGAGGCAAATCCGTTGAAAACCACTCTACAACGGAAGCGATTTTAAATTGATATTTCGAGCAATCAGAAAATATCGCTCAACAACTATATGGCGTGAACCAATAGCGACTATTAAATATCCTTTAAGAACTTAATATACGATATTATAAACAATTTCATTACAACGGGACTCATACAACAACGAGAACATGTTGCCTCTTTTCTAATAACATTTTCTAAAGAGTTTGTTAAAAATTAGCTAATTAGATATCGTAATGGGTTCTACCTTCTTTGGTAGAACATTTATCTATAATACTAATATAACGATATCTATCGATGGATTTCAATATTTCTTTTCTTTTTTTGTGGCGAAACGGTCACTCAATTATTGGATCTAAAACTCCGTGTTCAAGGCCCAGGTTAGATCCTAAACCAATAAAGAGAATGTGAATATCATTTAAAACCTATAAAGATATCTATCCAATAAGTGGTGACATGACTTATTTCAAAATTATCGATTTCCTAATCCCAGATCTATAAAATCCCGCAAAAGTCGAAAAAGAATCCAGTATGAAGAAATCCTCAAGCCCCAGTCGAAAGCCGGCTACTCATATAAATATCAATTTTACCCGGGGTTAGACATACGTAAAGGAAAAAATATCCCAACACCGTCTACGCGAACCAAGGTTTTTTATGGATATGGGAAACATAATCACACATATTATAGCACTTTTTGAAGGTATAATTTAGTATATGTATGGACATGGCAAGGAACCCCCATATATCCCTATGCAACTATGAAGGCACCCTATGGGGCGACCCCAATGAGATAAAAACAAAGATCCTTCTATTATTAGGCCAGAAAGAGATTAGTGTGGTAACAGGCGTCCTTACCTGGGCCTACAAGCTCAGCTGTACAAGAGAGGTTGTGAAAATAACAGCATATGCAGGGCATGCGGGGAAGATTATAAAACTTTGGAGCATGTTCTCTGTCAATGCCCAGCGTTTGGGATCATAATAAATTAAATTAAATAGTTAAGGGATTTTGTTAAGCCAACTGAATTTCAAATATAATAGACCGTAAACTGTTCGTCTTCTTTCACCTCTTATTCTTGAGCGCACAACAGGTCTATACTGCATAAGAGTATGTTCACCAGTACATGTGGAAAAATCGGATCCAAAAATATAACTCCCTTACCTTGTTGGATAGTTATTTCCCTAAGAACATAAATTATATAAATATTGTATATTTTTGCTTATTAAATCTGGGTCTAACCCAGAGCTTTAACTCGAACTTTCGGATAAAGTAAAGCATGTCACCCGGAAAAAATACTTTGCCGAAATTAGGGTATAAATACTTATCTCTGGAAAAAAAAATAAAAAAAACGAGAATGTTTACTAAATTTAAGTTGCTCCGACTATTTTAGTCACATTTTCAACGGAAATGTTTCAAATTTGGAATTTGAAATTAGCAATAGAAAACAATCTCTATGATCGAAAATTGTTTATGAATTTGCAGCTTTACGGAATACAAGACTTTAACGCATTCACTGGCATTTGCATTATCACTTTTAATAGTTTTCTTTACCGTATGATGGATGGTATTTAAATTTCGGTCCAACCGAACTTTTTGCATGAACTTATCCTTGTACTGCTGTCTAGAACACGTGGATAGCTTACTATTTGACATGCAAACAACGAAAATGCATGTGTTCAGAATTATAACGGGTGCTGTCAATCTTAATAATCTGGCTAGATTCTATAAAACTGGATGCTTATATTATATACAGCAGGGATAGTCCGATGACAGAAACTTTCGAAACATTAAAAAAATAAGATTGTGCTGAAGTCCACTGTCGTAGCCAGAAATGCCTTTCGAAGCTTTTTTGAACCGAAAACAAATAATTGAAGGGCATACATATTGGGGTAAAGTTTGTTTAGATCTGATTATTGTGATAAATAATATTGGGAATACTTAAAAGATAATAAAAAGAATAGTTTTCTAATTTTCGGTTCTTAGGGATCATAAATAATGTATTAATTTCCAAATGAAACTTTGATAGTTTGTCCTGTTTGAACAACCGTAGAAAAGCACCTCATGTATTTCGAGTCTGGAAATTCATAAAACTATTAGCAAATTTAGATTTCTTATTATATTTTGCTATATCTACGATTTCGGACTATTTACATTAACGAAATCAGCATGAATGTAAACACCAGAACTGTACTCTTGATTTAGATGGGTAAAATGGGAATTTGGTATTTTCAGCACAGAAGTTATGTACCACCATCCCTAGTGATTGGCTTCTGCCCTGAAATCTCATAAATTATTCATTACTTAATTATTTGATAATGTACTGTTAACAACAGATTTATTTATTATAATGAAAAATGCTAAATTTTTATGTCCTCCACCATGGTATGTTGGTTATATTAAGTTCGTAATTCCGTTGGTAACACCTCGGAATATAAACGTTAGACCCACAAAGCATATATATTCTAGATCATCATAAAATTCTAGGTCCATTTAGCGATGTTTGTGCATCTATTATTCTAGTTTCCGAACAAAATGAGGTAGTTTGATAAAATTTTATTAACATGTGTGTAAATTCTGCATGACACTTGGTATTGAAATGGACTATATAGGTCCGTGTTCTGGTATAGCCCCTATATAACTATACTGACAGATTTAAGGTTTTTTTCGTGTTTTAGTCACAATTTTAACCCGAATTTGCTGTAAATTAGCAGCGTGTATACATAATATAGGTTCAAGTTTTGCTGTAGTCTCCATATAACTATACCTCCAGATATTCGGCATTTTGATGGTTTGCGTCACACTTTCCACTGGAAATGTTTTAAAATTCGTCGTGAAGTTAAATAGTGGAGATATATTCGGCCCGCCGAATTAACTGGTGTTTACTTGTTTAAACATTTACAAAATACGAATATAATATAACAAAAGATAATGCCACTGAGTTCATCTAATGGCTTTCAAAAGAACAAATTTGTCATCTGTAATTTTGTACCCTATACCATACATGGTATGGAGGCTATATTACGTTTGTCATTCCGTTTGTAACTTATCGAACTATTTATTCTTGATTAGTGCCAAATTCCGTCATCCACCCATCTTTTGTAGTGTCCAAATGGCATATGATGGAAATCTAAGATATTGCATAGAGTTCTCTCTTGTCTGCAGGCAGGTTAAGCTCAAATTTAGTATTTTTATTCGTAAAGCTGTAGCCGAAATATTCCATCCTCCCGATATTCGGTACATTGATGGTTTTAAATACATTTTTACAGAATTTTTTCGAAATACAGACTGGATTTCATGGCTACCGACCCATTATTTTCACAAAATAAGTACTTATTTAATTGATTTTTGGCGTTCAAAAAAAGGGTACTTACGTGCAAATTATGAATTTTGCAACCAGTGGGATTTTCTAACGTTTTCCCGTTACCGACAAAAATTGGTAACGTTGAAACGCAAAATTATTTGTATAAAATGGGAATTAAAGTAAAGGACATTGTTTCTATCAGCGACTATTTGACTTTCGTTGCTAATTCAAAAATTGTTGTTATCTATATTTCTGTCATTAACTAATTTAAAGGCCTCACTACAGTTTTATAATGAGTATTTTTTTCTGAACAGTAGTATGTATTTCTAAACTTCGTATAACAGCATACAACAGTATTTTTTAATTTCTTCTATTTTAAATACTATAATATTTCATAATTAAAATGCATTCATAGTTATATTTATTATAAATATAACTTTGTCACTTGTTCGTATGTTTTGATTTTGTCTCAATTAGCCGCATTTAACACCCACTTCCGCATACCTTATGTGACAGCAAGCCATCACAACTATTCGAAGCATTTGTGGTTCGAAACGAAGAAATGAAAATTAACTCACATCTTTCAGATATTCTTCACTTAGTACAGCTATTATCGGCTTTTTGGCTATGTCCATTCCCCAGTCGTTTGCTTGACTACGCTTAGCGTTTTGGGCCAGCATGCTAGATGCTATGCATGCTATCATCTGTGGCTGCGACTGTGGCTTCTTTGTGCCACACCATGTAGATATGTGGTATTTTGCAGAGGTTTGTTTGACTATCTACCTAGCCATTGTGTTCGCTGTCCATAAGACCAACCGACGGACCGACCAACCATTCATCTATAATGCCAGCTGAGTACTTTAGTCGCTGGTTCATTCAGCTTTACGCTGAGCTGCTCATCGACATTTGTGCGTGCGCATTCGTCAAGAAAACAACGCGTGTATCTAAACGACGGCTTCCAGGGCAAACAGAAACTTAGACGGAACGACGAAACATAAAAACAAAGTGCCTTGCCAGATAGCTGTCTCACCAAATATGTTTCGACTTCAAGTTTTCATTCATTTGTTACGCGCTGGAGGAAATCTCTAATATCCAACGTTAAAGTGTGTGTTTGTGTTCGTGTGTGTCTTATTTTCGAAATGCATCATCTCAAGTATGAAAACAATTATTTTCACATAGGTATTCATCGCAAGCTAGTGTGGGTTTGATTCAAAATAATATTTTTTCCAAAAAAAAAGTGAAAAAGTTGGAAATTTACAAAATTAAAAAAAAAATGTTTCTTTATCGTACACTCGTAACAAAAATTTGTGGCGAAAAAATAACGACAAAAACTAATTTTAGAGGAAATTGAAAAAGAGTGCGGAATTTGCACAGACCAAAACGAAGTTTTATCACAAAAAAAATCCCACAACAAAACAATTACTTACATGAGATCAAAACAAAAAATATATATACATGCACTCCATCAATCTTCGTTCGCTCAATTGGACCTGTTCTCAATGGTGTTATGCATTTTTCAATTTTGTTGTCTAATTATCGCAAAACCCACCAAACCAAACCAACACCAGCAGCAATTCACTCTGCAGTCAAGCCAAACTGCTGCAATTGTCGATCGGTCGGTCTGCCGCTCGCTCGCTCGCTTGTTCATTCGTTTGGTCCACTCCAAATTACTGGAGTGAAAGTGAACCGATTCCAGTGATTCCATTCCATTGTAGTGCAAATTATGAACGAAAATTAATAACCACCACATAAAACCAAACAATCAAGCAAACCTCTGGCCAAGAGTGTGGAGAACAGCCCACAAAAAGAAATATAAAAAAATGAAAATATGATAAACAAACACTCATACACACGCAGATGCACTTTGCAACTCGATTTAAAAAAATATATAAAACATTTACAATAAATTTTCAAAATATCAAATTTATTAGCGTTTACTAACGTCCAACGCTTGCCTTTATTTATGTAGTGGCTGGTGGATGTTGAAACCTAGTTTGCCCCAACTCTGTGTAAATGCCAAACATTCATCAATCTAGTCTAATGTTTAGTTGCTTGCAACACTTGTTATTTTACAGTGGATACCAGCTATAGTACAAACCGACAAAAACACCAACAATAGCAACAGCAATTATCGCATGCAAAACAGCTCCGACAAGCAGCCAGGAAAATGCATTTCTTGCTAATTAATTAAAGTATTTAACAACAGCGAACTGAAGTGCAGCTAATTAAAATATGTGTGATGCATTAACTCTGTGGCAGGAGAAGCACACGTAGCAAAAACAACAAAACAAAAACATAGACTGCAGATTTTGGAATCTTCCGCAATATTCCACAACCAAATATTGTGCGCGTTTTTGTAGCTGTCAATAACACCCAAAGTCCCAAGAATGGTTACAAGCAAATCGGATAATCAAATTGTTGCAATTCAAAAAATGAACTCTGTGCGGTCTCGCAAAGCTAACGGTAGTAATTCGTCTGCTTTGCGTCTACTGGAAAGTGATAACCAGGAGTCTTCATCCAGCGTCAGTAGAAATTCTGTCTACAAATTGAAAATCGATTTAATGTTTGACGATACAAGGTAAGTGCTCGATTTATACCTTTTTTAATTCCTTACAAAAATACATAAAAACCAGTAAAGAAAGTCTTAAAGTCGGGCGGGGCCGACTTTATGATACCCTCCACCACTTTGCTAATTATGTAGAGCTCGACATAACAATTAAAAGTTTTATTGGCAGAATTCAATCATACACGCTATGATTATAATTATAATTTAAAGTTCAAAGGACTAAATATGGCGAAGCATTTCTATCTTTTAAATTCGGAATTGTATTGCCCATTTTGTGCACAATTAATTTAAAATCGGATAAAGATATATATTGGAGCTATATCCAAATCTGAACCGATCTCGATAAAATTTGGCAAAGCTATTTCTGAGCTGTATTTGATATATTTCCCTGAATATCGCTGTCACGGAGTGCATATTACGGTTGTGGGTAACAAATATAACAAATCGGATGAATAATATATATGGAAGCTATAGCTATATCTGAACCGATCTTCACTAAATTTGACATACTAGCTTCTAGACTCAATTCGGTCGTAAGTGCCAAATTCCATCCCATTTGGACAAATATTAGACGTTTGGTGCACAATAAAAGGTAAGTCGGACGAAGTTATATATGGGAACTGTATCCAAATCTGAACCGATCTCGATAAAATTTAGCAAATGTATTTCTGAGCTGTATTTGAAATATTTCCCCAAATATTGTTGTTGCATAGTGCATATTACGGCGGCGGTAGACAAAAATAACAAATCGGATGAACAATATATGTGGGAGCTATAGCTATATCTGAACCGATTTCGATCAAATTTGGCATACATATTTTCAGGCCTAATTTGGGTGTATATGCAAAATTCCATACAATTCGGGCTGATATTACACGTTTGGTGCACAATAAAAGGCAAATCGGACGATGATATATATGGGAGCTATATCTAAATTTTGACCGATTATCTCCAATTCCAATAGGGTTCGTCCTTGGGCCAAACAAAAGATCTTTGCAAAATTTCATCTGGATCGGGCAATAAATGCGACCTGTACTTTGTTTACAAAAATTCATGGACAGACGGACAGACGGACGGACGGACATGCATAAATCGACTCAGAATGTGATTCTATGCAGATCATCAAATGGAACTATGGGTCTATCTCGTTTCCTTCTGCCTGTTACAAACAAATGCACAAAGACATAATACCCTGACCACCTTGTGGTGTAGGGTATAAATATTGAAAAGATATAACAATTCGGAAAATGTGTAGTTTAGTAAAAAATCGGATCAAAGTCCTAACGGATGTACACATAGGTCTACAAATCGTGACGCTCTACGTTTTGCAAATCCAGATGCCCAGTGTCTGCTAATCTCAGCATTGCTTAATATTCATATATTTTTGGGTTTCTCCTCATTTGGGACCCCTGTTAGAACCTCTGGCTTGAGTGGATTTTCACCCGGAGAACCATATTTGGGTCCAGTAGACGGAGAGAGATTTTGGTTTCCAGTTTATTTAAAATGATGCCTAGCATCGTTCTCTCTCCTTGCATTGAGCCGTCTGTGAATCAGTAGCTTCTAGATGGCGTGTCTATAGAAATCCATTAATTCACGAGCACCTGTTTGAGATTAGTATTTTGCAAAAAGCAACTAAATTCTTTTACTGGTACTCGATCATATATAGTCTCCTCTATTGAATTTCCTATCATACCTTATCTGCATGTATATTGGCTAAATAATAAAAATAGTCAATAGAGCCCTCCTCAGTTTAGCCCTTATTGCCCTACAGATGCCTAGGCAAAACATACGTTGGACTTTCTACAAATTTCTAATATTTTGCTTCTTAAGAAATCTCCACCAGACTACAGACGCATTAGTCTACGCTTCTGTACAACCAGTGAATCATTTTTAGATTTCGTCCCCATTTTGAAACTGCTGTCCTTCTGCAGAGAGTCCATCATCGGTGTGCTTTATTTGCTCTTTTATTTATGTGATCTCGCCAGTTAATTTTTTATCCATGATTATTCCTTTAAACTTTACTGGTGATATTTTTATTGTACTTTTCAGGAAAACTAGTTGATCTAAGTGCCCATGGTTAGTTTTTCTGCTGAAAAGACATAATTATGTTTTTTCCGGATTACGTTTAGCCCTCTTGGTCTGCCCCATTTATAAACTAACTTCAGGACCCATTCGGCCCTTCTACACAGTAGATTAGGTTTATTTCTCCTCAGAAGTGCTATTTCGTCTTCATATCAAACTGGTTCAAATCCTTTCTCGGTTTAGTTTCTTAGAAGACTGCGCGTTACACACAGCATTTGTGAAAAACAATTTCCCCCTTGTGAAGTTTTCTTGAAAAATTAGGACTCTAATCGTTTTGGTTGTGTAGACCGCAGTGTATCAATCATTTTCGTAATATATGTCCTATCCAGTTCCGAAGCGATCAGGACATTTGGATTAATCTTGCTAATCTATGTTAAACTTAGATTAAAGCCAAAACAGTTCAAATGTATAACAAACGTATATATCCGATTTAGTTGAAAACCTTCACATCTTAATACTTATATTAAACCAGTAAAAAAGCTCCATCCTTCGGAACGAATTTCGCAATTTCAAAAATATAAAATCCGTTAAAAATTCTGTTAAACCCGGTATATGGGGGCTATACGAAGACGTAGACCTACACAGACAATTTTTTGTAATAGGCTGTAGTATACGTTACGAACTTCAAATACCAAATTTGAAACAATTACGCTAAGCTAAAACAATTAATGACGCTAAAATCATCAAAATACCGAATATCGGCGGATATATGGGGAATATACGAAGTCGTGGACCTTTGTACGGACAATTTTCTGTAATAGGTTGTAGTATCCATTACGAACTACCAAATTTGAAAAGTTTCAGGTGAATAATGACGCTTAAATCACCAAAGTACCGATAATATGGAGGTATCATTATATGGGGGCCATACCAAAACGTGGACCTACATGGCCCATTTTCAATAGCAAAAGTCCCCCAGACATAATACACATTTGACTTAATTGTTATCAACTTACTTCATTTCGTTCTGAAGCTACGGACAGACGGACGGACATCGCTAAATCGACAAAGAATTTTACGCTGATCAATATGCTGAGGGGTCTAAAATGTATATTTCGAGGCGCTCAGATGCAATATGTTTATTCGAGTTGCTCAAGCGAAAAGGTTGTGAGCAAACATGAGTGAATCGGAAACATGATTGATCTGTTTACGAACTAATATTGAATTGTTCATAACGGGATGATTGGCTTTATTCTTCTTGGTTAAGTGAGTGATTTGATTAAAACACAAAAGTTCGAATCTGGTCGAAATACTGACTTGTAATTTTATAAAGCTTTTCATAACTAAAACAGTCTCCATTAAATAAATTGGTCCGATTAGGTATGAAAGAAAAACAAAACAGAAGATTTTTATTTTTTGGTTCTTTGGTATATACGACTTCGGTGACTTATTTCTTAAAATCCAAATCATAATTTTTAATAAAGAAAAACATCAAAAACCTTCAAAATACCAAATATCGGGAGGTACCGTTATATAGGGACTATACCAAAACGTGAACTGATATATCTCATTTTCAATACCAACCATCCTAGACACAAAACAAATTGTTCTGCTAAATTTTGACGCTCTACGTCAAATAATGTGGGCTGTATCGTGATTTCAAAGACAGACAAACAGACGGACAGACGGACAGACAGACAGACAGACAGACAGACGGACATCGTTAAATCGACTTAGAATTTTATGCTGATTATGAATATATATACTTTATGGGGTCTACGACGAATGTTTAGGGATGTTACATACGGAATGACAAAATTAAAATACTCTCCCTTCCAAGGTGGAGGTTATAAAAATGTACCCGATTCTGTAGGCAAATAGCAAATTTGTATATGATAATCACTAATTTCAATTTTTCTTTTCAAATCTGAATCTTGTTCATAAAAATGTCATTTTATAGGCAAAATAGTACAATAGGATCCGACGTACTGATCACTAAAGGGGGGTGTTACGAGCTTCACATATGTTGTTGGCAATACTCATAATTTCCCTTAGAGGGAAATTCAGAATAAAAACGGATTGAAGTAGCTGAAACCCTATATAATTTTGCCTGACATGATATTTTCCCTGAAAAAAATTAACTTTTTAATTTATTAACTTTATTTTAAGTTTAAATTTGAAACCTAAACAAAAAAACAAATAATTTCCTACCAAGAATACATACTACAAATTCCTTACTCGTTGTTGCAAAACAGTTATTCCTAATCTCATAATTGTTGTTTTTTTAAAAACAACGTTCAATTATTAGTTAATGCTTACCAGGGTAAGTTTTCGTAGCCTAACTATTTTGCAGCAACAAATTAACTAGGTATCCCAAAAAAGTGCCAACAATTTTCATCAAATTGTTTATGTTATTGAGTACAAAGTGGTTTGAACTTGAATTTGGATGAAGATTGTAGCGCTAATAAATACATGCATATAAAAATATATATTCCAAACTTGATTCCTTTCTTCACAATCAAGTAAGAGATTGTGAACGAAGTTTCTAAAAATATACCCGTTTACAGAAACAATAGCAACTTTTAAACCGGAAAGATCGAATTTTTCACACTAACACACACGTGCGCAAATGATGTGAAATAGATTTTCTTTAAAATAGAAAGATTGTCATGTATCATGGGGATAACGCACACCAACAAAGCGCCATAATAGCTTGCACTCACTGGATGCTGTAGCAGAGATCGTTCAGTACCGCTATGTGACACACAAACTTGAGATCAATGCGTCGATTCGACCATCTCCATTGACCATTGTATTCATCGACATCTTGAGCGATTTAATAATCTCTTGATTGTTTTATCGACGGTGCCGTGAAAAATAATCAAAACGCTTTCGACGTATCGGCATGTGCTTCGCATCTCTCTTGGCCTTTGACTGTGCGCGCATTGTTTTGTGCTTCTGATTGTCTGTTGTTAAATTGAGGTCGCTTAGAACAGTCCATAATCGCCGGAGATTTATTATCCAAAATCTAAAGCAGTTAAGACTCAATGGTGGGCTAACTGTTTTTCGCTTAAGTGTTTATTCTTCTGCTTCTTCTCTATTTTCTAAAGGTGTCTGTTTGTTTTTGTTGTTATTCCGCAACTGCCACAATATTTTGGTATATCTGTATCGCGATAATAATACGAAATACAAACATTCACCCAAACGCTTAATTATTAACGTTATTCTTTGCTCTCTGCTAAAAAGAAAACAAAATTCGTAAAATATTGCCTTGCATTGATGTCGGGAAAAATGAAAGTTGGGAGTAACAGTTTCAAAAAAATAAAAAGTATTATTAAGCGATTTGTTGTTTACACTTAATGCGCACGTGTAAAAAACGATTCCCTAAAAGTTAAATAATTTGATTTGTGAGTCAATGAATAAAATAAAAAAAAGTTACAAGATCAAACAATTGGCTTTTGAATATCAATCTGATATTTCAAAAAACTTAATGTGTAAAATATCAGCAGACCAATTGCATTAGATCTATCTAGATAAATTCAAACACTTTACATGATTGACTTTTTATTTATCAGGAAATTATATTCCCATTAAGATCAAATTTCGTATCTTTATATAGGGTCGAAATAACTAAAATAAGGAGGTATATTCATATGAAGACTCTACGAAAATGAGAACCGATTTTAATAATTTTCTGTAAGGAATGTTCCAAAAACTGGCAAATTTAGATGGGAAATATGAGTAAAACATAAAAAAACATAATTAAGATCGTGCCTTACCCTTTTAGGCCAACAATAGACTGACATGACTCATCTTTAAACCAATGATTCTTGAAGTAATTAAAGGCTCTATGTCAAATAAATTGGGGTAAGTTTGTTGTATGTGGTTAAGGCTTTACATACAACGCCCCATACAAAAATTGGTCTGAGAAAAAAAAACTTTTTGTTGTTTTGTTCTACAAACCGAATACTATCATATAAAGTTGAAATTTTCACTCCCCCGAAGTACCCGTTGTAATGTAAAGACAACTTGCAGTTAGTTCGGAAATTTAAGATACATATTTTTTAAAGATACATATTTTGTTTATAAATATTTTTGTTCATAGACCCCTAATGAAATTTAATATTTCGCCTCGACACAGTAAGATTGCAGCGAATTTAAGATTTGTCAATTTTGGCAATATATATTGAATATTGTGTTCAATTTATAAAACAACTTGGATCGAAAGTCAATCTCGTCGATATAAAACACTTTTCTCTCTAAATTCTAAAAATTTTATTGAAAATAAAAACAATCAATTATTAAAAGCCTTAAAATTTCATATTAGTGTCATATGTGAATAGTTTTTTGCCATAGTTGTCTTTAAAATTTGTATATATACAATGGAGGGTATATTCAATTTGTCATTTCGTTTCTAACCTTTCTTGGGTGGCGCGTGCTGAGTGCGATGGTGCTGAGTCCTGTTGGAATTTCCAATGTCTGCGGCCAAAATGTTTGCATGCCCAAGGCGTTAATACACCCTCCAGAATATTTTCGCTATAATATTCGGCATTTATATCGATTAATGCGAGCGGAGCACAGCCATTAGCTGTTACCGAAGGTGCACATTTTCAGCTGACCTCTTTGGCACGTAAACACGATCATTTTGTTTGTTTACAAACTGCTGGATAACTGTTGAGGTATAAGTTCTTACACTTTTGGAATTTCAATAGCTTTACCCCGAGCTCATTTTTCAATATTTTCCGAATGGAATATTGCGATATGTTCAGCTCCGTCGACTTCCACCGCAAATAACTTTTTTTGTGGAAAGTTCTCACCAAAATGCTTTTGTACGCTTGTAAACAATATAATGAGCTGTCACTGGAATAATTTTAACAGCTGTCGGACGAGTGGCTTAAAAATGACAGCAGTCTGAAGTTGGCTGCAGTTTTTTCATCTCACCCTGTATATTCTTCATCAGCGTAAAATTGTATGTCGATTTCGCGATGTCCGCAACTGAGCCCACTTTATTTTATCTGACCTTAATTTAACGGTGCCTCCATATTTTTGGTATTTTCAAGGTATTTGCCTCAATTTACATCCAAATTAGATGATAATATGGCTTCCGCTATTTGAATTATTTTTTTAATTAAATCGGATTTATATTTTTCATTATTTCATTTTACTTTAATAAACATAGTGGCGGAGGTTATAAAAAGTGCGGCCCGGTCGAACTTCAAATCGAATTTTTACTTTTTTTATACCCTCCACCATACATAGTATGGAGGGTATATTAAGTTCGTCATTCCGTTTGTAACTCATCGAAATAATCATTTTAGACCTAACAAAATATATATTCTTGATTAGAGTAAAATTCTAAGACGATTGTAATTGCGCTACAGTCAAAACGAATTAAGATAGGAAGCAGGCAGGTCAAGGTCGAAGATGGGCTAAATCGGTCCAAGATATCGTATAGCTCCCATATAACGGTACTCCCCGATATTCGGCATTTTGATGATTTTAGCCGCATGTTTCAATGGAATTGTCTGAAATTGTACACAAGGAGTTCTTTATGAGTACTTTACCTTCTGACAGAGAATTGTCTATATAGGTCCACGGTATCGTTTATCCCCCATAAAAACGCCACATCGCGATATTCGGTATTTTGATGATCTTAGCCACATTTTTCAATGGAATTGTCTGAAATTCTACACAAGGAGTTCTTTATAAGTACTTTACCCCCTGAATTGTTTAAATAGGTCCACGATATCGTATATCCCAATATAATAATAATTATCCCAATATAAAAATAATTATCTGAAAACCCACTCAAGGACTTCCTTGTGATTACTTTATCCCCTGGAAGAGAATTATCTATATAATCGTCCACGATATTGGATAGCCCCGATATTCGGCATTTCGATGATTTAAGCCACATTCAACGTAATTGTCTGAAAATCCACACTAGGAGTTCTTTGTGAAAGAGAACTGTCTATATAGGTCCACGATAAATTTTTATTTTTTTTAATAATTTGTTTTTCTACTTCTCTACTTTCAGTCGTTCCACGCGCAGTCATCGACTCGATGATCCGCATGGCTCACACAGAACCCGATCCATCATAATGTACGGACGCAGTGAATTGGCCAGCACGGCAAATGACAGTTCACGATCCATAACTAGCTATCTGCACGAGTCCAATGAAACGGCCAAAATATTGGCAGACAATGCCAAAAAAGATGTCCAGCGCATTAGCAACAGTGTCCAGGCACAAATTGAACAGCTGTTCACCGATGTGGCAAAGGATGCCACCAGCAGTTTTGCGGTTACCTGTCTCGGATCATTGCCTCTCAAAGACAAAGTGACCAGTTTGCAAGGCTTACAAGAACCTCTGAGGGAGTTGTATCTCAAAGAGATTAAGGATGAGGTAAATTTTCAAAAGCATCCGATAAAATGTGTTATTACTGTTATTTATTTTTATTTTTCAGAAACGCAACACTGGCTCTCTGGATATCTGTGCCACCGGACTGCGTGTAAAAATATCTACTAAATCGGAGAACACTACAAAATCGACAAATGAAGGTGATATTACGCCGTTTCACAATATTGCCGTATGGTCTGCTGTGAAGTTTACGGTGTCTCAAGAAGATGGTGGTGCCGCGTTCCTGCCCCTTATTACTTCGCCGGAAAATATCGATAAGAGTTTACTGTTTCAGCCATTAAGGTGGGTAAAGGAAATGATTTGTATTTTACTGATCTCGTCGGGGCATATCGGTGACATTAATTTTCTATTTTCTATGTGTTCTGTATGAATACTGGTCTGATTTCCGATGAAATTTTCAAGATATCTAAACAAACACGCTAAAGCTGAATAATTTTCCAGTATTATATAAAAAGTTAAACAATGTAAACTTTTATTTAAAGAATTAAAATATTATTTTTTGTACTGTTCCATTTTATCAACATGTGTTTTAAAAACTCTCGTTTTATTCTAAATGTGAGAATACATGAAACGCTTTATTGACAGGCTTAAGATATCGGTACTGAAAATGAAATTCCCATTGTTCATAAGTCAATTCATTATTTTTGGTAATTTTTCGCATAACTTAAACATTCAAAATAGCACATTATATCATGTCCCATTTAAGTTCCACTAAATAGATTTAAAACCCTAATCCATATAGTGTGCTTACTTCCAGTGTGTCGGAGCAAAAGCGTTTGGCCAACAATCAACACGCACCCATCTTTGCTGTAGTTATGCGCTCTGCCGATCTGCCCAAGGTCTTGGAATGTCATGCCTTCATTTGTAAAAGCACCGAGGATGCCATTGTCATAGCTGCAACGCTATATCAGAGCCTGATGGCCCATGTCAGTTCCAATTCGCATCGCAGCACAAAACGACGCACGCCTCGTAATCAAAACGGCGTTAGCTGCATTAGTATTGCCAGTAGTTCGGCGGTCACCGGTTCCAATTATCACAGCCGATCTCAACTGGTGTCAGCTGGTCGCAAGAGTTCATTCCGCAGTACAAATGGCAGTCTGGGAAACGTACCTTCAGTTGCCTCCCGTTCTAGTCGTAAGAAACGTGTTGCGAACAGTTCCCTCAGCTCCAGCAGTAATATCATCAACGAAGCTGTGGAGACATCGACTGAGGAGAGAAAACGCAAATCTCACAAATCGAAGAGAGCCCCACCGATACCAACAACCATTCCGGGGGAAATGTCAAGAAGACTACACTCATCGAATCGGGACAATCGAAATTCGCCATCGTCCTCGTATCACGAGAATATGGACAAGAATGGAAAACATCTGAATGTGGGCCACACAAGGAAGATAAGCGGCGATGCTGTTTACAAGGCGTCACAATTTCTGAGCAATGGTGCGCCTCCAGCGGTGGTTGCTGCTGCCATTGCATCGTCTGGCGGAGGTTTGCGTACGAGCGATACAACTGGAGATATATTGACACGTGTTGCTATACCCAGATCCGGTAGCTTCCTGAACACGGGAGGACTTACGCGGTACAAATCGAGAGCAGCACGTCGTAATTCTGATAAAATCGGAAATGGCGGTGGCGGAGGTGGCGGTGGGTAAGTACTCAAAAATAAGTGTTGATCTACAAATGATATAAAATATTAGAAAAATGCGAACAAATTGACATGGCTACGGACATCACTTAAATATTTAAGACACAAATGAGAGAAATGAATGAGGGAATTGGAGAAGGAAGTAATCCCATTGTAGGCAGGCATTACAACTAACTCTCAGCAATTTCCCATTTGAATTGCAGTATGACATCCGTAGCTGATGCCATTAAATACGATTTCAGAATTTCACATAAATTCATGCCATTCTATTATTTAGACACATTTTATAGCACGGAAACCAAACTTTACACGTTATGATATGGAATCTCCTCCATTCTCAAGATTTTTTTTTTATATTTTCCTTAAACTTCGCACATCTCAATAATTCTGGCGATAAAATATCTAGGAGGAAACATATATAAAGCGGTTTGCTCCAGTCCAGAATTTAGTTTAGGTTTGTTGCCACTCTTTAAAAAAATGAAATTGGGTCTAATCATCGAATCTGTGCACTTCGCGATGCAAGTTAACTGGGGTAAAACGGATCGCAAATGGTTTGTCTATAAATGGTCAGATGGTCATTAGGATATATATCTGTCGACAAACCGAAACTTTCAAAATTCTGAGCAAATTTGCCGGAGGAATTTTTGGAGATTTTTCTCTTCTGCTTGTGTGGTAACATTTGTTGTAAACAAGCAAAAGGAGAATAAATGGAGTACGTTTCTCTCTGAGAGTTTTTTTTTGTGTTTATACGTTGTGGTGGAATTCAATGCGTAATTGTTGTGGGGCAGTCGGTGAGTCTAATTTCCCTACCGAATTTCCAATAGATATCCTTGCGAATTCGGTCCGACTTCGGTTCAAAGTCGGCTAAAACCGACGCCTCGGTCCGATAAAAAGTCACTTCATATAACTTTCGGTCAGAGGTCGCACCGAATAAGCATCCGACATCGGAAGTTTCATCCGACTTTCGGTTTGAATACGGACCGAACTCGGACAGTTTGGTTCTTTGGGATGCTTCATAATAACTTTCAGTGCATCTTTCCAACAATCCAGCCATATCGTGCCTTTGCGCTGATACATGCAGATGTATTAAGACTCTTACTTTGCCATTTCGTCTAGGCTTTAATGAACCAATTATTCAGACAAATTATTCAATTATATACCCATACATGTAAAGTTTGTGCCACACTGAATGTTTTGTGACACATTAATAGCTGGAAATGTCTGTATATTTGTATGTTTGTAGTATTGCTGTTCAATTACGAAAAAAAGTCGCCCCTTACTTCCATTTCAATGTTTCTAGTTCACCACTTGGTTTCAGCGAACTCTTCAATGAATTCCGTTTGCACGAGAACCTCCACTCGCTGGATGATATTCTGAATGCCATCATCGATGCCGACGGTATGTCATTTAATGACTTGAAACCAATCTACAAGGAGTTCTTGCTCAAGCTGGCGGTGACCCTAACGAAGGACGAGCTCTTTCAAAGGTCGAAGAATATAATGCGTCGCCAGAAGAAGAAGAAACTAAAGCGTAAACTCTACACCAACAGTTCCCAAGTAAGATCACCGACATACAGGCTCCGAATTTATACTCTATTTAAAAATATTTTTTTTCCGCACACCTTTAGAAAAAAACGAAAACCCCTATTTTTGGCACAAAAAGTTTGAAGAAGGTTTTTCAGTTAGGACAGTTTCGCTCCTGTCGTGGAAAGCCACCGAAACCTCCACGTAATAAAGAGTTGGGAAATCATCATCGCAAATCGGATCCGCCAATCGTTATTGGACCGCCCACGATGATATCCACACATCCCAACCATGGACGAAGTAATCCAGTTCATCCACACAATCAGCGGAATCGGGCAACAACAAGTGGATCCGATGTCTCTTTGGTGCGTCACGAGAATGCATTCGGCCTAAATCGGAATAGTAGCAGCGGGTATGTACCATGCAGGTTCGGTTTCATGGAGAATAGCAACCATCCCTTTGATGGGATTCCTCCAATTGTTTTGATATTATCTGATCGAAATCTAATCTGATTTGTTATTATTTTGTCATTCCCCAGATACGTTTCCTGCTCTGAGTGTAGCTATGACTCAGAGTCGTGCACATGTACCTCGGCGGATCGTTGCTATTGCAGTTTACGAACCGAGGAGATAAACGAAAACGAGTTGAGACGGCGCAACGAGCGTAGATCCTCGAAAAGAATTGTCCAAAACGCCAACATGAACAGGCAATCCCTCATCTCCTGTAAATCCGATGACAAGTGCTATTGTTCCCTGGTCGAGGAGGACAATCAAGTCACTGCTGCCGAAGACGATTCCCCCCACACCCACTCCGACACCACTTGGTGCGATACAGACAGCTGCATTAGCGCCAGTAAATGTTATTGCAAACGTATTGAACACAACGGTCCCGGTCCCAGACCCATGGATGCCAACCACAAAAGCAAGCCTCACAAATCACGTCGTTCACGTTCAACCACTCGCAAACCTAACGACAAATTCGGTGTCGACTACGAGCTATTCAACATCAACAGCAATGGAAACACCAAACCGGTTCAATCGCATGAGGCACTAAGCGTCAAGAAGAGCGTTGAGGCTGCTGCCATATTCGCCGATGTCAAACTGAGCCAGACGACCGACATCAAAAGCCTCTGCGCCAATGCAAGCAACCGAAGTGGCAGCTGTCGTTCTTATTCGGTGGCATCCCGCAAACAATCGCATTCGTATCGCAAACGCGAATCATTCAGCATTGGCAGGCGAAATGAAATGAACGCCGTGCCTCCTCTGCAGTCGTTGTCTTCGAGTTCATCACAGAAGTCTTGCAGTGCCGATGACCTCCTGAAGCAGTTGAGCTACATCGAGAAGAACATTGCTCGGGCTGCCTCGGTGCACAGCGGCAAAAGCAAGACCCGCGACATCATCCTCCGGGAGAACTTTCAAAACAACTATCAATCGATGCGGGCTGTGAGTGCCTCACTCGAGGATACCTTGGGATATTTGCCATAAAAAAGCCACTGACGACAACTGTGACGGGACGTCAAGCTCTTGCATTTAGTTTTCTTTTTTAATTTAACAGAATATTGTTTAAAAATAGTTTATAAATATTATTATATATACACAAAATATAACTTTATGGAAATTACATTAAGTCCAATTTAGCTTATGTTTCTCAAGGCAGTTGGCAATAGTGGGTGGAGTTTGCAAACACACACACACACACATACACCTACAGACAACTGCTTTGAGAAACGTAATCAGATAAATAATTCATTAACAGCTAAACATACTTATATACGTATTTTATTTTGTCTATTAATTCCAGTATTTGTTCCCTCTTGAGGGGGCTAGGGGTAGTTTGAAACCCCTAGACCCCCTCCTCGCTACCTAATTGTTATCATAAACAAACAATTCATGTGCAATATCCACAAACCAATGTAAAATTGAATTTGAATTTTAACCAATAACAATTGTGCAATATATTTATGTATCTGTTTTTATTATATTTTCAAAAAAACATTTTTGATACTTTATTTTTTAAATATAATGTTATTTTTTACTAATAAACAAAAGTACATGTATGCATACTTAAACAAAATAACAAATCTAATTGGTTTTTGTAATTATTTTTGTGAAAGATTTTTTTAACCATAGCACAATAACAGAAGGTAGAATATATCTACCAACTAAATATCATTTTTTCCGCTTGGTGCCCTTTCACAAATCACTTGCTGAATGAATAAATATTTCTTTTTTACGCAAAAAGACTTCAGTACAGAGAAGCATTTTCCTAATTGCTTTGAAGTTGAACAAGTAAAGAAGCAGCTAAGTTCGGCCGGCCGAACATAATTTACCCTCTACCATTCGGAAGGAACTTGAAATTTTTCAAAAAAAAAAAAAAAAAAAAAAAGAAACCGTCGAAAACTACCGCTCAAATGAAAACCTTTAAATAGAGACTGTACGTGGTGCTGGATAAGTAATTTTTAGTGAAAGGCTTAAGTAACGATTCCGAGCTTCAAATACGAAATTTGACACCAATCCGGTGAATAATGTCGCTAATATCATCAAAATACCGAATTGAGTAAAGGTAAAGGAAGGTACCGTTGTATGGGAGCTATACTAAGACGTGGACCTGCATAGACAATTTTCCGTCATAGGTTGTAATACCTATTACGAACTTCAAATACGAAATTTGACGCAATTCTGGTGAATAATGTCGCGCAAAATCCTGGAAATACCGAATATCTCGGGGTAGCGTTATGTGGGTGATATACTAAAACGTAGACCTATTTAGACAATACCCTTTTAGGGTGTTAAGTACTCAGAAGGAACTCCTTGTGTGGATTTTCAGACCATTCCATTTAAAAATATGGCTAAAATCGTAAAAATACCGAATATCGGGGGCACCATTGTATTGGGGCTATACGATATCGGGGAACTATATAGACAATACCCTCTCAGGGGGAAAAGTACCTACAGAGAACTCCTTGTGTAGAATTTCAGACAATTCTATTGAAAAATGTGACTACAACGTTCAAAATAACGAATGTCAGAAGGTACAGTTATATGAGGGATACACGATATCGCGGACCTATATAGACAATACTCTTTCAGGGTGTTAGGTACTCAAAAGGAACTACTCTTGTGGATTTTAAGCCAATTCCATAAAAAATGTGGCGGAAATCATCGAATATCGAGGGCACCATTGTATGGGGGTTATAGGATATCGTGAACCGATATAGCCCATCTTCGAACTTGACCTGCCTGTAGACAAAATACAGATCGATGCAAAATTTTAGCTTCCTATCTTTACTCGTTTTGACTCTAGCGTGACCGGGCTAAATCGTCTTAGAATTTTAAGTTGATCAAGAATATACATTGTTTGGTAAAAAATTATCTTTTCGATGAATTACAAACAGAATGTCGAACTTAATATACCCTCCATACTATGTATGGTGGAGCCATGGTTCCAATCATGGAACGACCAACAACTCTCAAAAGCATAATATTTTATATAAATTAATGAAACTAACACTTTTTGTATTTATAACTCGCACTCTAATGAAAACGCTTCGCATTTACAGTGATCCTAATACCACAATTCATAATTCTATTTCTATTCCTGCGCAATATGCCACATTTTATACCATTAACTACTTTTTGTACCAAAGGTCAATATTTTACACTTATCCGTTCACATAATTCCAAATAATACTAAATTGTTGTGCTTTTAAAATTTTAAGTACACTTATATTTTGAAATTTCAAACAAAATAATAACCGTGAGTACATCTATCCTACTTCAATTTAAAAATAGTTTCCATCTTACGGGTGTAAAAGAGCAATTATCTTTGACTATTCTGAAATCATTCTACCCTCAATTACGAGGTAGACAGCGCGAAATACAAAGTCCAAATTACAGCACATTTCAATGGAAAATGTTTCTAAGCTCTTTATAATACAAAAAATTGAGCTGGGTTGTCACCTGGGGATATTATAGATGTTCTATATTATATAGGTTTTCAACAGTCAAATCAAAGCTTATAGCTGAAAAATAAGATCATTCTATTCAAAATATCTGACACCAACGGTAAGCGAACATCTATTATATTTTTTGCCATGAATATTTATTTCTATTTAGAAATTTCTATGGATTCATTACTCATTATATACATAAAAAAATATGCATTGAAAACTGAAAGTACGGGTCGGCAACGCGGACCGGGCCAGCTAGTTATAATATAATTATAAATAAACTGGATGAATTAAATCCCAGCCTTTTAATTGTTCATTCACTGGAAGTAAGTTTAAATATTCTGCAACAAGTTTAATATCAAATTCGTAAACATAATATTCAGAACTAAATTTGAGATATAAACTAGCCTTTATTTTGGCCAATCTAGCATTTTTTTCGCACTCAGATTCATGGTATTTTTATACCCTACAACACTATGTGTTGGGGGTATTATAAGTTTGATTGGGCCAAAAATTATGTAACACCACGAAATATTGGTTTCCCATATATGTTATGTTAATTTGTAATCACTCTACAGGTCGCAATTATGGCCCGATCTTCACGAAATTTAAAATGTAGGTGGGGTTAATGTCAGAATAGAACCCTATTTCTTTTGGAGATGATCGCCAAATGTTTAGGGGTTGAAATGGACCAAATACTGAAAAAATGTCGGATTTTGCAGTAGCTATACAGGTCGCAATTATAGACCAATCGACGCGGAATTTCGCATGTAGCTAGAGTTTAGGGCGGGGAAGAAGCCTACCAATTTGGGTGGTCATCGGATAATACTTAGCGGGTAAAATAGACCATATCTTTTGTGTTGAAAAAATTCAAAATTGTTCATTAAACCGCGAATATTTTAAATCCTGGCGAAATCACGAAGCCATGACAAGGTTACTTCCGATCTTTACATTAATGTTAACATCCAACAAATCGGATATATAGCAAAATATGTGCGATATATATGTCTTTTAAAGAAGATATGCTTAAAAGATCTCTTATATGTCGAGAACGGCTGAACTGATTTCGACAGTTCTCATTAATTCAGAATGGCCTCTTGGCAGGAAAGAAAAAACGTCTAAAAAAATCGCATAAAAATATCTCTCTAAAGATGAAAATATTGATTTTGTAAAATTTTCTCATATTTTTTCAATTTTGTCATATTTTTGGCATATTTTCATTTTGAATTAAACATTTGGTAATATTTCTACAGCTAACAAAACTAAGTAGTTAGGATATCAGGCTATCATATACAGATCGCATTTATGGCCCGATCCTTACGAAATTTTGCACGGGGATAAGATGAGGGTCAGAATAGAAGCCTACTCTTTTTGGAGATGATCGTCCTATATTTAGGGGTTGAAATGGACCAAAAAACTGCAAAATTGTCAGCAGGTCGTAATTATCGCCCGATCCTCACGCACTTTTGAATGGGGGTTACCAAACATTGTAAAAGCCAAGCAGTTTTGGATGGCCATCCAAAAATATTCAATGTGCGAAATAGTTTGCCAACTTTTGTAGACAAAATACGAAAATGTCCATTCCAGTGACTTTTTGGAGAATTCACAAATACAGGAAAGACGCACTTCTGACTATTTCGTTAACGCTGATTTCGTTGAAGAATATGGTCAAATGTCTGTATCTCATATAGATGCGTTTCAGTCAAAAACCAATAATAAATGTTAATCTTTTGCCACTTCTGAGAGATTATAGGTCTTTGGGAAATATTGGTTCCAGATCTAGGAAGACCATTTAAGTGCAACATCTACCAATAAATTAGAAATGAGCAAATTAGTTTAGTTGCTATTATTCGAAAATTAGAGAACGAAACCTGATGGTTTTCTTTTATTATTTATCACAATATCTTGTGGAATTCTTTCGAGTATCTCGTCTATATAAACTGTATCGTTTATAATAGTGTTGTAGGGTATTCAACGGTCGGCCCCGCTCGACTGTAGCCTTTGCTTACTTGTTTTGAATTAAACATTTGTTAATATTTCTACAGCTAACAAAACTAAGTAGTTAGGATATCAGGATATCATATACAGATCGCATTTATGGCTCGATCCTTACGAAATTTTGCATGGAGAGGGTCAGAATAGAAGCCTACTCTTTTTGGAGATGATCGCCATATATTTAGGGGTTGAAATGGACCAAAAAACTGCAAAATTGTCAGCAGGTCGTAATTATCGCCCGACCCTCACGCACATTTGAATGGGGGTTACCGGACATTGCAAAAGCCAAGCAGTTTTGGATGGCCATCCAAAAATATTCAATGTGCGAAATAGTTTGCCAACTTTTGTAGACAAAATACGAAAATGTCCATTCCAGTGACTTTTTGGAGAATTCACAAATACAGGAAAGACGCACTTCTGACTATTTCGTTAAAGCTGATTTCGTTGAAGAATATGGTCAAATGTCTGTATCTCATATAGATGCGTTTCAGTCAAAAACCAATAATAAATGTTAATCTTTTGCCACTTCTGAGAGATTATAGGTCTTTGGGAAATATTGGTTCCAGATCTAGGAAGACCATTTAAGTGCAACATCTACCAATAAATTAGAAATGAGCAAATTAGTTTAGTTGCTATTATTCGAAAATTAGAGAACGAAACCTGATGGTTTTCTTTTATTATTTATCACAATATCTTGTGGAATTCTTTCGAGTATCTCGTCTATATAAACTGTATCGTTTATAATAGTGTTGTAGGGTACTCAACGGTCGGCCCCGCTCGACTGTAGCCTTTGCTTACTTGTTTTGAATTAAACATTTGTTAATATTTCTACAGCTAACAAAACTAAGTAGTTAGGATATCAGGATATCATATACAGATCGCATTTATGACTCGATCCTTACGAAATTTTGCATGGAGAGGGTCAGAATAGAAGCCTACTCTTTTTGGAGATGATCGCCATATATTTAGGGGTTGAAATGGACCAAAAAACTGCAAAATTGTCAGCAGGTCGTAATTATCGCCCGACCCTCACGCACATTTGAATGGGGGTTACCGGACATTGCAAAAGCCAAGCAGTTTTGGATGGCCATCCAAAAATATTCAATGTGCGAAATAGTTTGCCAACTTT